GTTTTGGGGTGAATTGTTCATCGATTCTTTAAGCCAAAAGATTGATATTTAAATCTGCCACACTTTCATTTTAATGAATATCATGATTTACAAAGTTTTATGCATCTAAAATAACAACTAAAACATTATCAATTTTAGAGCCTTAATCCGAGGACACATAGTCACTGCCACATTTTTGCACACACATTCACATAGTTTCGAAACACATAGGTTATCATTTATATAATTTCAAGTTCACAAACATAATCATATTCATCACGAAACATAATATACACCTATATCTACCAGCAATCATACCCAACCTACGATTCATTGGGAGCTAGTGACAGGGGTAGGCAAAAGAGGAAACTATCCTAGTTTTTCGGATGAATAATATGAACCTTAAGGAGTCTCATGGGAAAGGGACAAAGAGATAAGAAAACCCATACCTTTTGGACGTTCAAACCTCGACTTTCTTCCCAAAGAACCCCTCCAAACACACATCAAAAATCCATGAGCTTCAACACCAACTTGATGGAAAAACCCTCTATTTGCCTAACGTGTTTGATTAGTTGTATGTTTATAATTATCGTTGTAATTTCTTCAAGTATGAATAACTTTGGTTTACCTACTGTTTTGTACGTTATTTGGCAGAGAAAAACGTGAGTGAGAGTGATAGAGACGTCATAGAGAGAGATGAGGGTGGCACAGAAGAGTTTTCTTAGGCTTAGGAGTCTAGTAAAGGACTTAGTCAAATAAGGTTTTATTTAATTATTAAAAATATGATTTTCTTTTATTTTAAATACGATAATAAATAATAATATAAATTAATTACATTAATTTATCAACTTAATTGAAAACAATTTAATTCGTTGCTTCCACCTAGGTTCGATCCCGGGTGGAGCAAGACTTCACTTCAAGAGCCCAATTTCGGTCCTCTCTCCCCAAAATACTCCTCCACCTTATTAGTTAAATAATTAATTATATTTAGGTAATTATGATACTACCCTTAGCCTGGAAAAAGACCATTTTACCTCTAGACCCTCCAAACCTAAGATCTTCCTTTTTTAAGTACGGTAAAGACTCCTTCAAGTAGATCTTCGTATTTGAGAGTCCTACTTGGTTGGACCCAACCTTTCCTAGATCAACTGAATCCCCAAGTTAGTTGGCTTGGATCTATCAAGGGTTCCGAGGTCTGGTTCTACGCGCATCAATCCGTGTGAACCCGGTCTAACAGTTGGCATTCTAGACACATTAAGCATTACTTAACATATCCATTTTTAGGGTTGTTACCACAATGATCCAAAACACTATAAAAAATTCTTTCCTGCACGTTACTTAACCCACAGTAATATCAATTTCGTTTGCTTTTTTTACTAGTAGATTGACTCATCATTATTCATTTTTTTATTTTTTTCAGAAACCACGTATCAACTCGAATTTTCAATTTTAATAAAACTAAGATGTATATATTGTTCCATGTTGTTGCAAATATGGTACCTACCAATACGCGTTGTGAAACAAAAAACACCTTAAAGTGTATATAAGAAAATTACCAAAAACAAACCAACAAACTATAATAAATACCAACCTAACGGATTCCACCTTCCACCATGTTTAATTAAGATGGACATGTTGTTGTTCATCACAACAAATCACGTTTTTTCCACAACAAAATATCTTCAATCACCAAAAAAATTAAAATACAATATGCAACAACAGAGAGAAACAGGATAGAGGAAAAAATATATATTTTAATTTGATTTCAAATTATTTGAGCGTTTTAAGTAATCAAATCAGAATTTTATTTGATTTTAATTTAATTGAGCATTTAAGGAAACTGAATAATCTGATTTTTTTAATTCCTTAATATGTGTTAATTAGTTATTATCTATTATTAAATTAAATTATTTTTAATCACAACAATCATCTTGTTTTCCGTTTAAAAATGGAACATTATTTATATATTTTTCTTTCTTTAAAAAAATAAATGTCTTCAATTATTTAAAAATCAACCTTTAATTTATAATAATATGTTATAACTTGATATATTAAATTTTATATATTGAAAGTCAAACTCTAATGATATAGCTTGAGAATATTACTATATAAAATGCTATATACCTAATTTTAACTACTTATTTTCCATTTTCACTCTACTGATCATATAGTGTTGACGGACAATAGTACCCTTGGCTTTTACAAATATTTAATTTTGTGATTTCCTATGATATTGTTTATCATGAAATTTTTTTATGGTAATGAAAATTATTGTTTGAACCTCAAATTATATTTTTTATATCTAAAGGTTGCGTTTAAAATTAGAAAAAATAAGAAATATTTTATCAATTTATCGATTTTGGTCCTTAACAATTCAGTTTTATATTTAATCAATAAGAAAATATTTATAAAATAAATATATCACTTCTCTAATAAATTTGACGCAACAACAAAATAATGTGATGAAAAAACAACACAAGTATAACACAAAGAGAAATTACGAGGAATGAGGTTCTTACTTTTGGTTTTGATCAAATTACCAACAAAAAAATTGTTGGTAAATTGATCAAATTGGTTCACAAATTGATTTACCAGTCAAATGTCAACTTATAGTAATCAGTTTGTAAATAGCTCATTGGTAAACACCCAAAGATGTTTGTTACGACCCAAAAATGGGTATGGTGACACTTGTCTTATCCCACCAAGACAAGTCATCCTAAAACCCAACATCTAACAAAGTGAAAAAATAAATAGAATTCGAACAGCAATTTCTATTACGAAAATAAGTCAACTTAATTCAATCTCTGAAACCAGATTGTCACGTGCACAAGCCTATAGTGTAAATACTAAAATTAAACACGCAAGTCTAAAATGAAATTGTCTTTCAAGTAAAAATAAATTCATAAACTGGAGTAGGAAGTTTCGTTGAGATGACAAACATCTACCTCACAATTCTCCACAAGATGCCTCCGAAACAAAGAAAATGGAAGATATACGAAGATTCGGGCTCTTAACCTACAAAAAATTGTAGAAGCAAGGGGTGAGTACCGAATAACACGGTACCCAACAAGAAAACCTCTAAACACAAGTTAAGGGAACAAAATACCGGTACTCCTTACACCCTGTCTGAATCTCCAAACCACAACCTAACGTTTTACAGTTTACCACGCACACAATTCAACAACAACACTCTATAAGATTACATATTATCTATAACAACTCAATATTCCACAGTCACAAGATTTAAAGAAAAACGCTCATAAGATCAGCAAACCACAAGTTCAAGTTCATCAATAATAAAATCTGTATTGTCATGAGATGCAATATCAAGTATAGTGATACATGTTTGCCTTAATGATACGCACCCGCTGTGTCTTAGTCTGGGACCCTGGGGGACATATCTGTCCATGCATCTATCGAGGCGAACGACAGGACCCTCGATAATAGTAATTGTTGCGGCGCACGATACGTCCCTCGAAATACAATATTCATTGCAGGGCGTGATACGACTCTCGAAATGGTACATCCTTTTATCACATAACTTCTATTACAACCATGTCTCAGATGCAATGCAAATGACATGCTCAAATGAAAATGAGGAGATAATCATCTTGATAACAAAGCACAATTTACAATAAGGAATACAAAACCAACAAATAGGCAACAAGTCATCAAATTTTTCTCAACACCACACAAGGAAATAAATGAATTTCATACTCTTAACAAGGGTTTAGAATTTCACTTGACTTAGCCACTCGAATAATCACTTCGAGACTTGAGTCTTTGCTTTTCGTTGAGCTTCCAAATTGATGCAATCTATTCAAGTATATAAATTCATAATAAGGTTTCAGAACTAACAATACTCATATTTTTATGTGTTTTACCTTGACCTAAAACCTCACCCAAATTTATAAATCAAGTTTGTAATTTTTGATGTCAATTAATATTTCCACTATCATAGTTTTCCAAGTTTCAAGCCTATGATTAAATTTAGATTATTTCTTTTCCACTATCATAATTAAAAGTGACATTCACTCAATACCATACATATAATATTTAATTACACATGCCCACCTATTAAAACTAGATTCACAGTATAATGACCAAGATTTAAATTTTACACTACTAATTTAATTAGAGCAGTGCTAACGAAAAATTGGTCCCTTTTATTTTATTCCTTATGTTTAATATTTTTTTCCAGCCAATAATTGGCTCATTCTGGACTATTATTGGCTCATTTTGGCCAATCCAATTACACCTAATTCTTTTCTGAGTTTCCCAGAACCACCCACGTAGCAGTTAGTGACATATAACCATTACTGCTAATTTTTCACCCAATAATTCTAGCACTTAATTTATTCTTTTATAAAATTTAATTGTTTTCTCTAATGCAAACCAACAATAGTCTTCACATGGCCTCCAATTGCCCCATTTACGAATGGCCCCCATTGCACTAGAAAGAGACATTAATTGCTCATTCAACCAAGATCTTGAATTTATATCCTATCCCATTTATCACATAATTGACTAACTAAAACAACTACGACAAAGCACCATAGATTGTTACCTGAAGTTCAAAGAAACCCTCTCGTGTGCGTCGGCGTAGGTAGGTTTCTGCCTCTCCTTCTTTTCTAAATTAATAGTTTATTAAAACTGACAAAATGCACTAGCTTATTATTTTAATACATGACTCTAATAGTATAGGGTATTAAATAAATGATCACTTTAGCTCACTAACTATCTACTAATTCCATTATATACAATTAATCATAAATAAATTAACTCAAGTTATACGAATAATTTTAAAGTTTCAAAAATAACCTCGCGGGTCATTACATTATCCACCACTAAAAATTATGTTCGTCCTCGAACATAAAGTAAAAGAAGGTATCTGGAGCTTCAAAAAGCTGAGGGTATTTGGCACGCATGTTAGATTCTGTCTCCCAAGTTGCCTCTCCTACTAAACGGTGCTTTCACTGCACCTTCACTGAAGCAGTCTCCTTGATCCTAAGCTTTCGTACTTACCTATCTAATATAGCTATAGACTCCTCTTCATATGTCAAGTCGGGACCCGTCTCCTCATAATAAAGTGAAATCACATGAGATCCATCCGGAATATACTTTCGATGCATTGAAACATGGAAAACAGGATGAAGTGTTGACAAACCAGATGGCAATACCAACTGATAAGCCACCTCTCCAACTCGGCTCAAAATTTCAAAAGGTCCGATGAACCTAGGACTACGCTTACCCTTCATTCCGAACCTCATCACACCCTTCATGGGTGATACTCGCCTGTCTTGGGCACAAAAATCCTGCCTCCGATCGTCAAATCTGATCATCAAACTGGTGCTCATGGATATACTCGACTAAAGAAGACCAAGTCTCAATAAAAGCAATCATCCCATCACTATCCTCCAAAATCTGCAATCGAACAAGATTGTTAGCTAACATCTGAACATCTCTAGACTATGGTCTCTCCTCAATACTAAGAGATGCAAGACTCCTCATAATATGAGTCTTCCTACTCAAAGAATCGGCCACAACATTGGCCTTCCCATGATGATACAGAATTGTCACATATAGTCCTTCAGCAACTGAAACCATCTCCGTTGCCCGAAGTTCAAATCCCTCTGACTAAAGATATACTGAAGACTCCTATGATCAGTGAAGGTCTCACAATGCACCCCATACAAATAATGACAACATAACCTAAGTACAAATACCACAGTCGCCAACTCCAAATCATGATTATGGTAGTTCTTATCATGGGACTTCAACTGCCTAGAAGCATAAGCAATCACTTTCCCCTTCTGCATCAACACACTACCCAATCCAACTCCTAAAGCATCACAATACATAGTAATGTCTAAGCCCTCCGCATGTAAAGTTAACACCGGAGCCGAAGTCAACAAAGTCTTGATCTTTTTAAATCTCTCTTCACACTCATCAGACCACTAAAAACCCACATCTTATTGAGTCAATCTACTCAATGGAGCTTCAAAAGTAGAGAAACTCTGAACAAATCGTTGATAATGGCCTGTAAATCCCAAAAAACTCCTAATCTCAGTAGGTGAAGTAGGTCACGTCCACCCTATGACTGCCTCAATCGTGGCCTTATCTACTCTAGTACCTTCCTTGGACACCACGTGTCCCAAGAATGCCACAAAACAAAGCCAGAAATCACACGTTGAGCAACCTATCAAGTAAATCCTTAAGTGTCGGACATGGTACTCCTCAGTATTGGAGTAAACCAAGATGTCATCGATAAAAAAAATCACAAAATAATCAAGGTATGGTCGAAACACCCCATTCATCAACTCCATAAATGCTGCAGGAGCATTAGTCAATCCGAAGACATCACTAGGAACTAATAATGCCTGTACCGGGTCCGAAAAGTTGTCTTAGGGATATCTAATGCCCTAATCTTCAACTGATGATACCCAGACCTCAAATAAATCTTAGAGAACAATGATCCTCCATGTAGTTGACCAAATAAATCATTAATACGCAGAAGAGGATACTTATTCTTCATTACTACCTTGTTCAACTGTCTATAATCAATATACATCCTCGTAGTCCCATCCTTTTTCTTCACAAACAATACAGGGGCATCCCAAGGTTACACACTAGGGCAAATAAAACCCTTACTCAATAAATCCAGCAACTGATCCTTTAACTCTTTCAACTCTGCTGGATCCATACGATATGGAGGGATAGAAATAGGATTAGTGCCCGACTCCAAATCAATTGTAAAATCAATATCCCTATCGGGAGGAACACTTAGAAAATCAGAAGGAAATACATCGAGAAACTACTCAACCACAGGACAGAGTCCATTGGGAGGTAGTTCAACACTAGTATCCGAATAAAAGTTAGGTAAGACAAACAATCTCTCTCCACCATTCTTTTAACACGGAAAAAAGAAATAACCTTGCTAGGATAAGAACCACTAATACCCTTCTACTCAACCCTCAAAACACTAGGCATCGCGATGGTCACAGTCTTAGCATTACAATCAAGGATAGCATGATAAGTAGTAAGCCAATTCATACCCAAGATAACATCAAAGTCTACCATCCCCAGAATGGTTAAGTCCACCCAAGTGTCATACACAGCCAAAGAAACAAGATAGGATAGATACACTTGATCAACCACTAAGGGCTCACCCACGAGTGTAGAAACACGAATAGGTACAGTCATGTTATCACATATCATATCAAATTCAACTGCAAAATTGGTAGACATATAAGAGAATGTAGACCATAGATCAAACAATATAGACGCAGGTCAATGGTATATTGGGATGATACCTGTAATAACAGCATTACAGGTATCTACCTCAGGTATCCCCGGTAAAGCATAACAGTGGCCTCGTCTTCCACCTCCAACCTGGGAGGTACCTCTACCCCTACTATTCTGAGCTGCAACACCACTACTAGAAACCCTATCACCTCTACCTGACTAAATTCTGCCACGACCTCTACCCTTTGGTGCCGGTGGTCTATTCTTAAATGAAGAATTAGATCAAGGCCCACCACAAACCCTTTAAGAAGTACATTGCCACATCAGGTGATCAGGATATCCATAAGTAAAGCAAAATTTCTGTCTTGGGAACTGTTGTCTGGACACTGAAAATCCACCATAATTTCCCAGCCCTGTAGGTCATTGTTGTGAACAGTACGAGCCCTAACTCGAACTATAAGAACACTTAGATGTCTGACCACCCTCGGATGTCGGCATAGATGCATGAATGTGTCCCCGCTGCTGAAAGAAACATCTCTTACTTTGTGATCCCCTACCTTCAGATGAGGCACCATGAAACTAACCTGATGTACTGGCCATTTTAGGGTCCCCAAACTCCTCTCTCTCCATCAATTCCACCTCTTTGGCAGCGCTCACATTGGACTGGAAAGAAGCCCCCTCTCTAGATGCCCGAAACACAGCTGACCTGATTGAGAAAGTCAATCCCCTCCCAAATCTGCGAATCCTCTCTGTCTCATCTAGAATAATGGCCAACACATGCTTAGACAAATGGAAAAAATGAGCCTCATACTCTATAACCGATAAACCATCCTGTCTCAGATTCTCAAACCTCAAGCGACTCTGTACTCTCTTGCTCCAACTGATAAAACAATCATGGAATGCACTAGAAAAAATCTACCAAGTCACTGGAGGAGATCCAACTGTCAAAAACCCCGAATAAATCCTCCACCACTCTCTCGCTGGACCACGAAGCTGGAGGGTAGAATATTGAACACCATGAGACTCAGCTAACCCAACTACCTCTACCAACTCTCGGCATACAGTCAGAAATCATTAGCGTCCTCACTTTTCCCACCCTAAAACTGAGGTGGGTCCATCTTTTGAAATCTCTCATACCTACGTTGCTCATCCTTTATCAGCACAACCGCAGGTGCAACTTGACCCCCAAATACTGGTGTAAAATCATTCTCAACGGCGGGATCCACTGGTAGATGCCCCACCATATCTTGAACAACTAGAGCTTGATGTTGCTCTTGGGTCTAAGCCCCTTCTCTAGTCTAAGATTTATATGGTGTGGTGGTTGCACCACCACCCTGATTAAAGCCCTCCATCACACTTAACTGCCTTAATAATGTATCCTGAAGCAAAGGTGTGACAGCAGGCTCTAGAGGAACCTGTTCCTCTCTACCATCAATTTGAGGCTCTAGAAAGACCTCTCTAGCATGGCCTCTCACTGGTGCTACTCCACGGCCACGACGTCTGGCTAGTATTGTACCATGAGCATGACCTCTAGCTGGATCTCTACCCCTACCCCTAGTTAGGGCCTCAACAACTGCCTCGGGAAGTGCCTCTACTCTACCACCAGTAACATTAGCTCTAGTCCTCATCATTTGTCAAAAGTATACAATAACTTAGTACAAAGAAATTCTAACCATGCACTATGAGAAAAAATTGAACGAAAAGAAGTTTCCTAATAGTCGTTAGAGCCTCAAAGAGATAAGTACGGACGTCTTCATACCGATAATTGAGACTCTACATAGACTCAACTTGTATACATGTGAGACCGATGAACCTGGAGCTCTGATACTATTTGTCACGATCCAAAAATGGGTGTGATGGCACTCGTCTTATCCCACCAAGACAATTCATCCTAAACCCCAACATCTAACAAAGTGCGGAAATAAACAGAAGTCCAATAGCAATTTCCATTAAGAAAACAAGTCAACTTAATTTAATCCCCAAAACCAGGTTGTCACGTGCACAAGTCTCTAATGTAAATATTAGAAATGAAATAAAACACGCAAGTCTAAAATGAAATTGTCTTTCAAGTAAAAACAAAGTCATAAACTAGAGTAGGAAGGTTCGCTGTGATGACAAACAAATACCTCACAATACTCCACAAGATGCCTCGGAAATGAACAAAATAGAAGATATCACGAAGATCCGGGCTCGTAACCTACAAAGAATTGTAGAAGCAAGGGGTGAGTACCGAACCACACGGTACCCAATAAGCAAACCTCTAAATACAAGTTAAGGGAACAAAATACGGGTACTCCTTACACCCTATCTGAACTTCCACACCACAACCTAACATTTTACAGTTTACCAAGTACACAACTCAACATTAGCACTCTATCAGATTACATATTCTCTATAGCAACTCAATATTCCACAGTCACAAGTTTTACAGAAAAACACTCACAAGATCAGCAAAACACAAGTTCAAGTTCATCAATAATAAAATGTGTAATGTCATGAGATGCAATGTCAAGTATAGTGATGCATGTCTTCCCTTATGATACACACCCGTTGTCTCTCAATCTGGGACCCATGGGGGACATATTTGTGCATGCATCTGTCGCAGCGCACAACACGACCCTCGATAATAGTAATCATCGTGGAGCACGATCCCTCGAAATATAATCTTCATCACGGTGGCGAGATGATCCTCGAAATGGTACATCCTCTTATCACAAAACTCCTATCACAACCATGTCTCAGATACAATGCAAATGATATGCTCAAGGGTTTAGAAGTCCACTTGCCTTTGCCACCCGAATAATCACTCCGGGACTTGAGTCTTCGCTTTTCGTTGAACTTCCAAATCGATGAAATCTATTCAAGTATATAAATTCACAATAACGTTTCCGAACAAACACTGCCACATTTTTTTATGTATTTAACCTTGACCTAAAAATTCACCCAAATTTATAATCAAGTTTGTAATTCTTGGTGTCAATTAACATTTTCACTATCATAGTTTTCCAAGTTTCAAGCCTAAGATTAAATTTCGATTATTTCTTTTCACTATCATAATTCAAATGACATTCACTCAATACCATACATATAATATTTAATTACACATGTCCAC